GTCTTGGAGTTGCTCTTCTCGAGGGGTATCTTTGTGGCATTCTCTGTATTTCCTGAATTTCAATGTTGGCCTGCCTTGCTAGGTTGGGGAAGTTCTCCTGGATAATATCCTGCAGAGTGTTTTCCAAATTGGTTCCATTCTCCCCATCACTTTCAGGTACACCAATCAAACGTAGATTTTGTCTTTTCACAGAATCCCATATTTCTTGGGGGCTTTGTTCATTTCCTTTTTATTCTTTCTTCTCTAAACTTCTCTTCTCGCTTCATTTCATTCATTTGATCTTCAATCACTGATACTTTTTCTTTCAGTTGATCGAGTCGGTTACTGAAGCTTGTGCATTTGTCATGTAGTTCTCGTGTCATGGTTTTCATCTCCATCAGGTCGTTTAAGGACTTCTCTGCGTTGGTTATTCTAGTTATCCATTCATCAAATCTTTTTTCAAGGTTTTTCATTTCTTTGCGCTGGGTTCATAGTTCCTCCTTTAGCTCTGAGAAGTTTGATCGACTGAAGCCTTCTTCTCTCAACTCATCAAAGTCATTTTCCATCCAGCTTTGTTCCATTGCTGGCGAGGAGCTGCATTCCTTTGGAGGGGGAGAGACGCTCTGATTTTTTGAATTTTCAGCTTTTCTGCCCTGCTTTTTCCCCATCTTTGTGGTTATATCTACCTTTGGTCTTTGATGATGGTGTCATACAGATGGGGTTTTGGTGTGGATGTCCTTTCTGTTTGTTAGTTTTCCTTCTAACAATCAGGACCCTCACCTTCAGGTTTGCTGGAGTTTGCTTGAGGTCCACTCCAGACCCTGTTTGCCTGGGTATCAGCAGCAGAGGCTGCAGAAGAGAGAATATTGCTGAACAGCAAGTGTTGCTGTCTGATTGTTCCTCTGGAAGCTTCATCTCAGAGGTGTACCCAGCCATGTGAGGTGTGAGTTGTCAGTCTGCCCCTAGTGAAGGATGTCTCCCAGTTAGGCTACTCAGGGGTCAGGGACCCACTTGAGCAGGCTTGTCCATTCTCAGATCTCAACCTCTGTGCTGAGAGAATCACTACTCTCTTCAAAGCTGTCAGACAGGGACATTTACATCTGCAGAGGTTTCTGCTGCTTTTTGTTTAGCTATACCCTGTCCGCAGAAGTGGAGTCTACAGAGGCAGGCAGGCCTCCTTGAGCTGCGGTGGGCTCCACCCAGTTCAAGCTTCCCGCCACTTTATTTACCTGCCTAAGCCTTAGCAATGGTGGGCACCCCTCCCCCAGCCTTGCTGCTGCCTTGCAGTTAGATCTCAGACTGCTATGCTAGCAATGAGGGAGGCTCCGTGGGTGTGTGACCCTCCAAGCCAGGCACAGGATATAATCTCCTGGTGTGCCGTTTGCTAAGACCCTTGGTAAAGCTCAGTATTAGGGTGGGAGTGACCCGATTTTCCAGGTGATATGTGTCACGGTTTCCCTTGGCTAGGAAAAGGAATTCCCTTCCCCCTTTCGCTTCCTGGGTGAGGCAATGCCTCGCCCTGCTTCAGCTCTCGTTCACTGGGCTGCACCCACTGTCCTGCACTGACTGTTGGACACACCCCATTGAGATGAACCTGGTACCTCAGTTGGAAATGCAGAAATCACCCGTCTTCTCTGTCACTCACACTGGGAGCTGGATGCTGGAGCTGCTCCTATTCGGCCATCTTGGTGCCCAATCCCCAGAAATCTTTTAAAGAAGGATCCTCCTTCTTTCTGAACTGACCCTGGAAAATAAGTAACAAATGCCATTCTTGTTTCATACTGATACCAATTTTCACAACCTTCTCTCAGATTTTTCTTTGACACTGAAACACAGATGAGCCATCTTTAATCTTTAGGCATTTTCCCTTTTAGTCTGTTCTTTTTATGTTTGTGCATATATATATATATATGTGCATATGCATTTATGTAGTGGCTTGCCTATTTATTTATACCCTGCCTTATTCTGGAATGAATGAAAGGTGGCTTGTGAGAATATAGAAAATATACCAAAATTATAGCGGTTAATAATGGCAAGGAAAGAATAAATATGAGACATACATTGGAGTTTACAGTGATCACAATATGTTTAATCTAATAAGTTACTTATTAGTTAATGACTGAGCTGTTAACTTGATTCTAAGGAGACATGTAAAAAAAAAAAAAAAAGTAAACCTGGTTAGGTACACAATTCACAGGGACCACAGGACATAGTCAAAGTAATTTCTCAGGAGATGCACAATTTATCTTGATGCTGAGACACAGCTGGAGTTTTTTTAAAAGTGAATATGGTACAATCCAATAAATAAACAATGCTCTCAAGACATTATATGTACAGATAAATCTATTTACTTTTTGAACCAAGAGGTTTTGAGGATATCAATTTATAGTAAAATTGTTAATATTGATAGTACTGTTTCAACATATTTTAGTGATACTTTTAATTATTATTCATGTATCTAATGTAAATTAAATGCCTAATATATACAGATCAAGGAAGGCCCAAATATTCCAGACTTACGAGGGGTTTTGAGTTAGGACAAGTTTCTTCATTCCTGGATTAATTGTTATCAGTTGTGTCAAATATATCTGAAAGGTCAAGTGAGAGGAGAGCTGAGAATTAACCATTAGATTTAGCAGTGTGGATGTCACTGTTATACTGATTTTAAAAAAAAATGGAAGAAAAGCTTGCCTGAAGAGAGGTTAAGAGAAAATGGGAGGAAATGAATCTGAAGTGGTAAATATCAACAACCTTGAAGGAAGTTACATTATAGAGGGGGGCAGAAAGGTGGAGTTATAGCTGGTCAGGGATGGGACCAGGAGAAAAGAAACTTTAATGCTGGAGGAATTTCAGCCGATTTTTATGCTGACAGGAATTTTTGGTGGAGACAGTTGATCAAGGAGGAATTTCTGGATGATGTCCTTGAGTAAGAAAGAGGGATGGGCTCTAGTGAAAGCATTGGCCTTAGTGGGGTACAATCACTCTGTCTATGATACAGAGTAGAGAAGAGAAGGGACTTGTAGGCAATAGTTGCGGTGAAATAGGAAACTGAGTCATCAGCTGAGAGTAGGGATAGGGGAACAGATGTTGCATATTTGAGGAGACAGGAGAAGGTATTTAATTGTCATCTAAGGAAATATAGTATGATTGCCAGGTTCCCTTGAGGACACAATTCAAATTAATTCTCATAAATTTCAAGTGGGACTAGTCAGCATTCTTTTGTGCCTTTCTCCAGCCATATCAGCTGTCTGGTAGGGTGTTGTGTTACAGAAAGGAGATGACTTTAACCAGTATTGGGATTTTTATGTATGTATTTGTTATTTTTAAAGTTATTATCTTTAAAAAAGTTCAGAACTGATGTATTGCACACTGTGCTTTGAATGACATCAACTTATTTATTCATTCAGTAACTGTTAGTGTGTGACTCCATGGTTCTTGCTCTCAGGGAGTTCACACCTAGTCCATGTGAATTAATGTTTGTAGAAGGAAAGGTAGCAAGCCTAGATGACATAGGTTTGGCATGCAGAAGGCAGGGACAATCCACTGCCTGGATTGAGTAACTGTTTTGAAAATGTTATGCATAAGTATAAAGATATTATATGACACACCCCGATTTACAATATTTTAAGTCAAAAGATTTCAAACTTTTATCTGAGAACCCTTTCGTACTCTTAAAAAATTTTAAGGGCCCACAGAGTTTTTATTTATATAGGTTGTATCTATTGATATTGAAATATTAGAAATTAAAATCAATACATTTAAAAATTATTTTAACTTAAAAATAATTAAACCCATTATACATTATTTATGTTCTTATAAACAGCATACTTCTTATGAAATATAGCTTTATTTCTCAAACAAAAAATGTTCAGAATCAAAAGTAGCATTGTTGTTCTTTTTCTACAAATCTCTGATTTAGTAGATGCAACTGGATCTCGTCTCTGCTTCGGCGTTTAATCTGTTGTAATAGCATGCATCACATAGCCTCTGGGAAACTCCACTGTACACTTGGGAGATAATAAGAGCAGGCAAGGCAAAAAGCAGTTTAGTATTATTATAAATATAATTGTGACCTTATGTACTCTTCAAAGGGTCTTGGGGGCTCCAGTAGTCTCTGGAGAACTTTGATAACAACTACTCTCAGTAATAGCTAACTAAAAGGTGAAACAAACATGGACATTAGCTATAACAGTTGCCTATGGGCACTGCACAAAAAAAAAAAAAAAAAAAAAACTTGGCCAACAATTTAATTAGAATAAAAAAGCATTGATTGATAATTTTTAAGTTGTGTTTTTTTGTTGTTTTTATTTTGCCTTTTATTTAACCAGTGTGCTTTTTTAAGACAAAGAACTGGTGAAATTTAAGGAATCTGAAATTCAACTATTTTTTAATTCTTCACTGTTCAATCCTGGAAGCTGAGGTTCAAAGAAATAATAATCTATGTCTCAATGATAGTTAAGGATAGCTACATGTTTTAAAATAAAAAATGGAAATCCATTAAATTGAGTCGTCAAAACAATTACGTGCAATTAGTTTAAAAATTGAGTATTTCAAATAATGTAAGTTAGCATCCAGATTCGATCATTTTGAAAGTATCCTTTTTGAAATAATTCTAATTTTTTGTCAAACCACGCTATTTATACACTACTAGTTATCCACTGGTGGCTGCTTGCAGATGAGGCATAAGGTCTGGAAGGGATTAAGAAGTTGTTCTTGTTCTTGGATTTTCTTTGTAATTTCAAATCGTTATAAGTCATGGTGACACTGTGGTATATTAGATACTTGCTTAAAGAACATCAAAGACAAAAAGGAAAGAAAAGAATGGAAAGCCATTATAGAGTTTAGAGTTTTCTAAAATCCATTTTCCTTATTAACCATAGTAATAAATACTCCTTTGACAACAAATGTTATTTAATGGGCAATACTTGGAGCTGCTGCAAATCTTCACTATCAATTGTACACTTTAATTAAAAACTAAGAAACAGCATAAATCCCCATGCATCTTTAAAAGAAATGCAAATTCAATTTGTTATTATTTAATGCTATAAACAGCTGAGAGAGATATATATATAAATTTATATGAATTCATATCAATTTATATCAATTCATATCAATTTATATATCAAATATATCAATTTAGTGGAGATATATATTTGTTTATTCATTTCACATTTCAGGAGTATGCCTAGAGGGAGGAAAGATATTATCTGCTCTGTCAAACAGAATAGATATTTATTATTCGGCATATTTTCATAGTGGAGGAAATATACAACCATAAACCTAGCTAGAAATTTAAAACTTATAAACAGAAATTTGAGAAAAGAAAAGACAAACATGTCTTCAGTATCCTTTGCTCCCCACTTTTTAAGATAGGCAGTTCTCATTTTGAAGCCCATGCTACTCACACGCTACTGGTTATCCAGGGGCAGCTGCTTAGAGATGAAGCATAATGTCTCCACATGAGACGAAAAGGGAATGGTCAACAGTAATCAACCTTGTTGAGCCTTGAGCTCCTTGTCTATTACATTTGTTTCTTCCAGTGTGCATCAGAGTAATATATCTCATTAAATGTCACCTTTGCTAAGATTATAGGCTTTCCCTAAAGTTAAAGGTAAAAGTTTTATATAAGCGAAACATTTAGTAGAGTCTTAGAAATGCCTTGTAGAACAAACAACATTCATTCAACAAATATCTGAGCACCTAGGACTGTGATTCTCAATTCTGGCTGCACATTAACACCACAAGGGAAGCTGGCATTTTAAAACACCGATGCCCTGGCTGCATCCCACATCAATTAAAGCAGTGTCTCTAGGATAAGAATCAGCAAGCAGAACTGGTTTTAACTCCCCAATTCTAATGTGCTAGAAACAGCTGTACTCACTGAAGATGAGTAAAACATGGTACTTATCCAGGAAACTTGAAGACTACTGTAAAAGACAAGTATACATGTAGAAAATTGCACTATAATATAATATGAGATATAGAATATATATTTTCTAGCTATTACAGACTATGTTCTGGGACCTATACATGCATGCTGTTATTTCTAATCTATAAAATCTTGTTAATTTGTCATTATTATCATGTTACAGATGTTGAAATTAGACTTCTAAGAGATTAGTAAATTGACCAAGTTTACATGCTAGTAAATGGTACAATGGCTGTTCAGCCTGCATCTCTCTGAGTTCAAAGCTTGAACCCTTTACACTAAGGCACACTGTCTCTGGGGAGGTTCTCAGAGGTAGTAACACTCGAGTTGAGTCTCTAGGAATGAGTAGACTTGGGTACATAGGCACGAGATAAGGGCATTCCATGTTGTGCCAAATACAAGGAGGCATGAAGGAGCACGGCTTGTTGAAACACTACATATCATTCCACATAGCCATCTAGAGTGGTCACTGATTATGTTTCATGAATGATGCACCGTGAAACTGTGAAAATAATCAAAGATTATATGATAGATGTTAAATATTTTTATTTAAACACCAAAATATTAAGGAGGTGTAAATTAAATTCACAGTAACTTGGAGTAGATGTCCATTATTTTGTCTGTTCAGCAACTTCTGGAAACATTACTCTGCCATTTTGGGGATATGCCTTACTCTCTTCCCAATCATGTGGTTACATGATTCTTACATGCTCTTATCTGTCATTTCCTGACTCTAAACCACTGATCTCCCTTTACTGGCTCAGGAGAGCAGCCACAGCAATAAGTGTTTCCCCAGTTTCTGACCTAAAAATGAG